AGGGCCAGTCTCCCAAGATTCTGCAGCCTTTGTTTCCAGCCCTGATCCACTTCCCTATTCAGCCAAGATTCACTGGCTGAGCAGATGAGGCTCTGGCCTTGTGCTCAGCACTGTGGGTTAATCAGAGCCTCTGGGGGACAAGTGTGGGACTGGCAGTGCTGGGCTAGACCTTGCCATGGTCCATGCCCTGGACTCTAGCCTCAACTTCCCGGCCTCCCTGCCTGGAGATGCCCTGTAGTGACTGTAACAATCCCCTCCTCCATACTGGCCATTCCCTAAAAAACTTTTCCACAAATACCTATCACTTAAGTGCCAGACACCCCCCCTGGGAGCTGGTCATAGCTAAAGCCCTGAGTCTTAGGTATACCCTGGTATGGTAAGGAGGTGGGCTTGTAACTAAATGTAGGAGGTACAGCCTTATAGGGATAGGAAGCAGTGGGGAGGGCTTCCTGGAAGAGGCAGGCTTAGAAAGAAAGACTGGAAGCTGAGTTCTTGGGAAGATACCTGTCAGGAAGGCAGATACTAATATTGTTACTGTCTCATTTAATTCCTGCACCCCTAATAAAGGCTTTGACCCCCATACCTGGCACAGATGTGGGAGGAAGGAGCCAGGAAGTAGAGGTGGGAGATGTGTGGCTTTTTAAGAGGAAGAGGTATCTGAGATCCCAGTTGGGCCAGACAGCCATGCTCTGGAGCTAGGTGAGGGAGGGGTCATGCAGGCCCCTACTTCTCTGGCCCTGCTGATGGGTAGCAGTTGGCCTAGCCCAGCAGCCCCAGACATGGCCAGAGCCCAAGAACAAGGAGGGAAACCAGAAATAACACAGTTTCAGAGGAAACTGGAGCTTTTTGCCAAAAACCAGGTGTCTACTTGCCATGGGCCAGTTCTGTGCTGACCCTGTGGACATAGTTTCTACCCTTAAGGGATGCTACATTACAGCAGAGGAAACAGAAATGAGATGGAACTGACAGTTGCGTCGGAGTGTGAGGGGTTCTGCAGCTCCCCACTCAGTGAGTGAGAACAGAGACTCAGGTTTATGCCAAGACCCCTTTGAGCTGGAGAGCAGAGAGAGGTTCCCTAAGGAGAGGAAGGGAGGAAGGAAGGAATGGAGGCAGGCAGGCAGGCAGGCATTCTAGGGGAAGGGATACTTGTACCAGGACAAGAAGCGACTAGAGAAGACTGGAAAGTAGGTGGGGAGGAGGAGTCCCAGGCACCGTTATGGAGGCACCCACCATGCACCCACCTCCCATTCTCCCTCTGGGGGCTGGGCATGGCGACCTGATGGTGGGATGGAACTCAGGCCAAAGTCTAGCCACATTGGGGGTCAGGTGGCTGTTGCATCCCCTTTCCCTATATCCAAACCCCAAATTCTCATCTGTCCCACTGCTGCCTGGTTGCCTGGGTGGTCCAGGAAGAGGTTTTGTCTGGTAGCCACCTGGTCTCCCGTCCATGTCTGTGTCTTCCTGTCTCAAGGGTAGTCCTGACTTCACTTTCCAGGAGTTTGGCCATAGAGATCCTGTTTGACTTTGATGCTGCTCTGTTCCAGTGGAGGGGGCCAGCTGGGACATGTGAGGTCCTAGATTTTCACTGTGTTCTCTCTGTCCACTGCCACAAGCACCTTTAAAAATAGAAAAAGTCATTAATTATTAAACACTGACACTCTCTCTCTGCCCACCTCCCTCCCCCACCTTGGGCAGGAGCAAGGCCTTGTGGGTCCCTTTTTCCAGGCTGAAGATGGCTGCTGAGTCACAGATTTGAGTTGTGGGACTCTGTTCTTGCCCTGCCTGAAACTGCGCCCATACACAGAGGCCAGATTTGTAGCCTGACCTTGTGTCCTCAGCCTCAGGAGAGCTCTGCCATGGCAGAGGTAGGGAGTTCCTTCCTTCCTCCCTGCTAGTTACCCTAAAGGTGCCTGACCTTCATCTACACAGCTAGAGTTCTTGACAGTCGTACCCTAGAAGCTAGGGGTGAGGGGTGCAGCCCTGCCAGGTGGTTACTCACCCCTTTACCTTTTCTCCTCTTGCCTATATGGATTCCATTTCCCACCTCTTTGCTCTGTCATAGCCCAGCCAGTGAGGGGCCGTGAGATTTTTCTTTTCATCCCTTTTTGAGGTTTCTTTTCATCCCTTCTCAGGCCTCTGGGGCTCTGCATCACATAAAACCACTAACACCCCCAAAAGGAGACCCCAGAAAACCCCATTGTCCAGGCAAGGGAGGTGCCCACCCAGACTCCATGCCTTCCCTGGCCTTATGCAGTGTAGTCTTTAATCTGGCCAGGGCAATCTGTTAACTAGTCACTTAGCCTCTTCCCTGGGCTTCACCAGCTCC